CAAACATTGATTATGCAGATACCCTTGTTGATGAGGTATGCCTTTCCCTCCACTAGCAGTTTCCCTCAACTGCCAATCCCACCCATCTTTGACAGTTTCCCACTAGGGATTACCAGTTTGCCAATCCCTTTCTTATAGTGTTATAATAATTGTTCCAGGTCCGCTTATGAGTGAAAACATATGGTACTCTGTTCTTTTTTTCTGTGATAGATCACTGAGTATGATCGACTTTAAATCCATCCAAGTTGCTACAAAGTCCTATGCTTGTCCTTCTTTATGGCTACATAATATTCCATTGTGTATATATACCACATTTTTTTAATGCAGTCCAGCTTTTATAGGTAACATAGTAAGTTTCATGCTAAAAATTTTTTTTAAAAGAAAGAAAAACAATAAAAACTGTCAATCAGTGCAGGACAACTGTCCAGGCAGCTTTTGGATCAACCTGGCTCTACCCATTTTCTTCCTTTTAGTTCTCAAGAATAAGTGTTAAATGTGATGGAAACACAACATCTTGAGATAGGGAGGAACTGGTGGAAATAGGCCAGATTCTGTTCCAGTATCCCTTGAGACAGGAGGTAACAATCCAAGTAAAGAACTTGCCCATTGTGCCACGTGCCCCAGGGTATGAAGCCTAGGGTAGGTGCTATCCAGGGAGTCTTAGCTGTGGTGCAACGTATAGTTAAGACTCACCCACCGCAGGTAGCTATATTGAGCCTTAAGGTCCAGTATACAATGACTCCTAGGGGTTTGCTGTCACTGCTGCCTATCTGCATGTAATATATCCACTTTATATAATTTGTGATATGTTGGGTGTTCTGTCTCATCAGATTGAGATAAAATTGGTTACCAGTGTACAGTGAACCTGCTTCACAAGTCAATAATCCCAATCCAACAAATAAAAACCACAATGAGATACTAATACTATTCCATACTCACTAGGATGCTAGTACAAAAAAAAAGAAAAAGAAAAAGAAAAAAGACAATAAAAAGGGTTGGCAAGAATATGGAGGAATTGAAACTCTCATACATTGATAGGGTAATATAAACCGATACAGCTACTATGAAAAACAACTGAATAGTCCCACTCAATGTTAAATATAGAATTTCCATATGACCAAGGAATTTCACTCCTAGGTATATATACAAGAAAAATGAAAGCGCACATCCATACAAAAACTTGCATAAAAATGTTTGTAGCAGCATTATTCACAATAGCTAAAAAAGTAAAAACAATATGTCCATCAACAATAAACAGGTAAATAAAATATGTGGTATAAGTATACACTGGATTATTAAGCAATGAAAAGGAATAAAGTACTGTTACTTCCAATAACATGGGAAGAACCTAGAACATGTTACACTAAGTGAAAGAAGCTAGTCACAAATACCATATACTGTATGTTTCTGTTTATAATAAATTGCCAGATTAGGCAAATCTATAGAGACAGATAGTACTTTAATGGGTGACAAGAATGGAAGAAAGATTTGGGGAACTAGAAGCTGATTATAAGAGGCTTCTTTTCAAGGTGGTATACATGTTTCCAGCTAGATTCTGGTGATATATGCACACTTCTGAAAATATACTAAAAACAAAACAAAAAAAGTATACATTTTAAAGGGAGAACCTTTATTAGACAGGAAGTTAATTAATAGAGTTAATTAATTAATTAAAGGGTGAATTATATCTCAATAAAGGTTTTTAAAAAACAGTACCTATCTCTTAGACTTATCATCAGGCTAAGTGAGATAACCCATGTAAAACGATTGACAAAGTGTTCGGCACACAGCATTCGATAAGTTGATACTATTCTTTCTGTTTTGTCATCATCATCGTCTAGCCCAGTACGTTTATCCATTATTTAACTTTCTGAGTGACACATATTTATGTGATGGTGGTTGGTGACTACAACAGATTTCTGATGTCAGTTTGGTACAGACATATATATATATACATGTCAGATACTATTTTTTCAAAATTAATCCTTATTTAATTAGGTAAGAGATACTTGGCGGCAATATCAGGTTAACTTTAGATATATTTTTAAGGCTCACAGATCTTATTTAGTTCATTAGACTTGGACTTAGTATGCGAATATTAAACTCTTCACATTTATCAGTGATGTTAACAAGGATTTCATGAACTTTGTGGTGATAGCAGTCTTCCCCAGGACTGTCTGCTACTCCTCCATCTATAGGCATCACATTCTAACTTGAGCTGGGTTTTGGACAGTCTCTGAAATTCTACCCTGACCCTCTCCAACTACCACCACTCTGGTGTCCATATTTGTCCCTGTTTCATCACCCTGTAGGGAAATCGCCTGTTCCCTGCCTCTCTCATTAAACAATAAACTCCCTGGACCCAAGTCTGGCAGATTCCAGTCACACACAATTCCGGAGGTCACTTATCATTCACATTATCATCATGAACATGAGATCCAACATACAATGCTTGTTTAGTTTTGCCTTTCCCTTTTATGACTATTTATTTACTCTACAGCCCTGATGACTCCTTTTCACAGTGTTCTTCAAACCAGCTGACTGAGGGCTACAGCAAATTCTTTCCAACTCAAAATCTGAGAATCGGGGGGAAACATTGTACATCAGTTTGGAATCTACACTGTCTCACAATAGTAAAACATTTTCTCTAATTGAATGATGTATGACATTATACTTTTCATTAAGCAATATGTGTTTAAACTTAAAAATAATGCTCTCATCCTGTAGATTAAACAGAGAGAATAAAATAGACAACATATCCCACTAAAAGGGACCTTGTTTTCAAAGTATTCCCCACTAGGCTCTGCAAACCTGCTTGACTGAGGATAGGATGGAGAGAAGAGAATCCTAGTGACTCCCTGATGTTGCCATTGGAGACCTGGGCAGACCAAGTTCAACCAGAAACCCTGCCAAAAAGCTTAACTAAGATCCACCTTGGACTCCCATTAGCCTCTGAGAGAGAGACAAGAATGAGGACAATAAAAAAAAGCCATCAACTAATGTAAAAGACACACTATTGTTCTCCAAATGTTAATGGATTACATAAATGAGGAATGGGTAATCATTAATCAGGAAAGAAATAACCTACCAGCAGTCATTCAATATTAAATGGCTAACAAAGGAGGGCTTTAAAAATTTTTTTCCTTGTTTTTCTTTAAGATGCCTTTGATTTGTCTTATTTACAGAAAACACCTCTAAACCTCACATTCTTCAGTCTACTTGAGGTCACTTCTGTAATGGTCATAAGTAGACAAACTATCAGTTAAGTTGGAATTTAGGTATTTGGAAGATTAATGGTCAAGACACATACTTTTCTATTCCAGTGACCACAATACCAGTGGTGATTAACTAGAGAAGCATTTTTTTCTGTTCTTTGTCATTTTATCTTTCACCTAATTGGACACTTACAGCTTTTGCTGTTTGCTGCCATCAGGTTCACAGAGAGCCAGAAATCTCAAGCAGCTGCCAGCCTCCTCAACTCATAGGACAGATTCCGGGGTATGGCTTAGCCACCCTGAGAGAGTTCTGGCTCAGGAGACCCAGGGGCATCAGCGAGCTTGCACTCCTGCTGAGCTGGCAGGAAGCACCTAACCCAGTCTATACAAACAAATTCAAGGATGCTGCAAAGGGATGGTGCAACTTGCTACCACACAAATGGCTTCCATTTCCGGTCTAAGGCTTTATGGAAGAAAGCCAAGGAAGAGATGTCTTCCTTTTGTGCATGACATGCAGAGTTCTAACCTATTAAGGAAGACCTGTTTTTCCTGGGAGAGTGTGGAAGAAGTCAGCTCCATTGTCTTCATGCTCAACAAGAGTGCCAAATCACCACCACCCCTCTCCCTGGCAACTCAACCCAAAAATCTCTTGCAAATAAAACAGAAATGACATCAACTCATATCAAATTTCCCTAAAAAGCAGAATGCTAATATTTTAAAAATATTTTTTAATAAGGTGTAGTATTTGCATATACTTAGTATTTTAAAGAACTGGCCATGAATGCCCATTCAGTATCCAATACTCCCATACTCATACACAAAATCCTTATGAGACATGGGATCTCAATTTCCTCTCCTTAAACTGGGAAGAAATTTTCAGGCAAACTGAAGGCATTTTCCAGGGAAGCAATACATGTCCAAAAATGTATTTGCTAAACCTTTAACGTGATCAAGACCTTAAAGTGTTTTGATCACACATTTTTACTCTGCTCTCTGAGTCACATTTCGCCCCGCTGTGTCTGAAGAACTCATTTCTGGCCAAGAATCTCAGCATCTCCTAAGCAATGTGTTCCCTAAGAATATAAAAATATGTTAAGAAAAGTAAAAGACCAGTCAGTGAGATTTCGGACTGGGAAGGCCTGAGGGAGACAGGTAGATTCTGCACTTGGTCGGAAGCCCTCGCTCTAGAGTCCCTGTGCACTTGAAGCATCTAGGTGATGTGCAACACTTAAATTGGACATTCAGAACATGGGACATGTGCCCATGGCCCATCAGCCCAAGAGGACCAGCAATGTCCTGCTACAGACGATGTGCTAGTGTGGAAGCACACTGTCATCATCAGAGGGACAGACATGAAGTCCTCAAAGTCTTCCCAACAGCTGACCAAACAATCCACACAGCCAATCTGCTCAACACTGTCATCCTATTCAAAATGGAGACATTTCTCCAGTCTTTGTAACAGGCCAGTAAATGAGAGTTAAAAACATCTCTGAAGAAATGCATGTGTTAAGACCTGGCTACAAGTCGTACCATTTCCAGACCAAAGCACTCTTCCACAATTATTCCAGAACAAAAGGGTGGGTGTGTTCACTACTTCCCAATGAGTCAAAGGAGGGAACATACTATTTCTGGAAAGTATCACTTGACACTTTTTCTCCTGTGTAGTTTGCACTGCAGTATCACATGAGTATCTATGCCATTTTGAGGGAAATCTCTGGTGACACTTCCCTTTTGCACGCGGCACTGTTCCTGCACCTTACTCCCAGGGATGCGCGCTGTACTCACCAAGCCTTGGCAGGTGGAAAGGGCCACGGTGGAGTTTCTGTGGGACCGCAAGGAGCCCTGATAGAAACAGAAATCCCCCGGCGGCAGCGTCTGCACAGACTTAGTGCCTCCCTCTCCCAAGGTCTGCACGGTAAATCCGGGAGCCACCAGGTTGTTGGAAGTCCTCAGATCCATGTGGAAGTCGTGCCTGGAGCCTCTCAGCCTAAGGTGAAGAGAGTCGACCCCTGCCTGGGCCACGGCTCTCCTGCGCCGTTGGTGGTGCATGATTTCATGGGACACGTAATCGCCCCTGTGGTCAACCTCGTAGGCAGAGATCAGGTCGTATTCTGAAATAGAAATAGCAGGAAGCGGCTGCATCATTTTAGGTATCTGAGAAGAATCAGGACGTTTTAGAGTACAAGACTAACTATCAGATGACATCGTCATCTAGTGAAGAATGAGGAGGAAAAATGCAACACCCGCCCACTCTCAGTTCAGATTGTGGAACACACACAATCAGAGTTCAGAGGGGAAATCATAAAAGGGGCGTTTACTTGAGTCAACGTTGCCCCATCCTGTGTCATTACCAATCCAGCAAGTTCTACGTCACTTAGAAGGAAAAATAGATTACCAACTAAATAAAACCAAAACTGAACTTTTAGGATTATAGTTCACTGAGAGAGTAACTACCATATGTAATCGTTTTTATAGTTCTAAAACATTCCTTCAGTCATATTCTTCTGCTTTTTTGTTCTTGTCCTTTAAGTTGGGGGTCTCACTCTGTTGCCCAGGCTGGAGTGCAGTGGCACGATCACAGTTCACTGCTGCCCCAACCTCCTGGGCTTGGGTGGTCCTCCCACCTCAGGCTCTAGAGTCGCTGGGGTTCTAGGTGCACAACACCATGCCTGGTTAATTTTTTGATTTTTTTTTTGTAGAGACGAGGTCTCATTATGTCGCCCAGGCTGATTTTGAACTTCTGGGCTCAAGTGATCCCCTCGCCTCAGCCTCCCAAAGTGCTGGGATTACAGGCGTGAGCCACTGTACCCTGTCAACTTCTTTTTTTTATGAGCTACGTATGTTAGGAGACTGTTCTGTTAGATTCTTAATAACCAGGGCCTTTTTCTGCTTTGGCCTGAGTTGGACACGCTTTTTGGTATCATAAGGTAAAATAAAACAGCATTCTTAAGAAGTGGCATTTGCCAAAAGTGAACAGTATATAAGGAATTATTAATTTCTGAATACAGAAAGTTTGCTTCACAATCAAAACTCTGTCAGTGCAGAGGCTTGTGTACCCAGGGTCTATTCTTTCTTAGTAGGTAACTGAATGGTTTCACAACAGCGGACTGGGAAGAAGCTAGTGGCTGGTCACAAAAGGCAGGTGTCTGGGTTTGCGAGGGGCAGAGGAGGCCAGGGGTGGATGGCAAGGCACTGTCTGGAGAGTCCCCAGGGCTGCAGCCACCGACAAGGTGAGGGTCTCAGGCCAGGCAGACAATTCCCTCAAGCAAGCAGTGAGACGGAGAGCTTGGCAAAGGCCTCTGCTACCCAAGGCTTCCTCTTCCTAGGGCCAATGGCTTCGATATGCAACTCTGCTGAGCCTGGAGCCAGGCACCCTTGGGCCCTATTAGCAGGGCTTTCTATACAGGTACAGATGGGCACTCTGAGGGTACCTGGCCAAGGGGCAGTAAAGGGTTCTGATAGACAACTTGCCAACTAACTGCTGAAACACATATCAAAGCAGGTAACCGGCATCTTGTAGGGTGGAACACATCAGGATCATTTAATATTGTACTCAGAAAGGTGACAAAGGAAAACAAATCCGGTTAAACTGTATGCAGTGGTAGAAGAAAGGAAAACATGCACCAGGAATGAGCACATGGGGTGTTGGCACATGCATTCTCCATCTGTCCATGGGACACTCGTAGTCGACATTCCCAAAACTGCTTTCCTGCCGAGAGACCCTGCTTCTGTCATGCCTGGTTGTCTGGAAGAAAGGGCAAGGCCGGTGTGAGGCAGCCATGTGAACACCTGCCCCTCCAGCCCCCCACCAGTTCCTTTCACCACAGCCAGCCAGGCAGAGGAAGGACCACAGGAAGCAGGTTGGCTTGTTCCAAGCAGTGGTCAGTGAGCACGTTTTATTGCACATAAAAAGATGATTTCTACTGTTAAAAAGTCACATTGTTCCCAGATGATAGAAGGCATATTCTTATAACTTTTATTCTGGAGGACAGATAATATGTGAATATGCGCCCTTTACTGGGGGAGGATATAATATGCATCTTGCAAAATGACGATTGATCATGATTCTTTTACAAGCACACATATCGTGCTGTGCTGATCAATGTTTGACAACCAGCAATCTGGGGAAAAATGGGCTGGTTTTCAGCACTTGCCAATTTCCCTAGCGTGAGTATTCCCATCACTGCTGATTTCAGTGGCTCATGGTGCCATCACCAAGCGTGGAGTTGCAGAGAGATGTGCAGCAGCCACCGTTGTACAGTATGTCTACCACACAGATGCAATGGATGGAGAAAACCACCAAAGCATAGTAATAGCAAAATATAGTAAACACTATATATAGTAAATATGTAGGTACTATGTACATGTGCTTATATGCTATATATAGTATATTACATATATGTAAATATATACTCTACATAGTCTAGTAAAAATATAGCAAATAAATAGTAAAATAATCATGCAGTGATGTGTTTTGAGCATTTTAATGTTTTTAAATGTAATCATTTCGATTTATGTATTTCAATTTCTAATAACCAGCTTGTAAAATTCCTGAAGAGGTAATATTCGGCTCTCAACAGCTGCTTTGTGGGGCCGTGGTCCACCAACTCCACTCCACTGTCAAGGCACTCACTGGCTTCATCACAGTCCCTTCCTGAGGATGAGGGAGGAAGATCTATCTTTCCCTTTTGTCCATGGTTCTGGTTTTCAGAACCATATCCCCCTCTTCCCACGGTCAGGCAACACTGATATCCCCCTCCTCCCATGGTCAGGTGACACTGGGCAATGTTGGGAGGCAGTTTTGGTCCTCAGTAAACGGGGAAGGGAGAATGACACTTCTGGAATCTGGTGGGTAGAATCCAGGGCCACTGCTACACATGCTGCAGTTCACAGGACACACCCCACAACAACATGCCAGTACTGCCAAGCTCGAGAAGTCCTTATGTGGTCAAAAAATAATCCTCGGTGGTTTCAAACGTGTAGTCTCATTTATACGCAAATGAGTATGAAAAAGGTCATAGCTAAGAAATTCAATGAATGAACAAAATAAGCATAACATCTCATTATAAACTGATTACTCTTTAGAGATAAGTCAAAGTATAACTGCAATAAGCTGAACATTGTAAATTAACTTGAAGCTCATGTTTTAAGATGATAATCCCCAAAACTCTTGACTTGTGATTTCAAGCAATAGCGTTGTGGCTAAAAAATATTAGTAAGATTCCCGATCTTTAAGAATCCTTTAAATAAGACATTGGCCCTATATAGATTTTTTTTTTTCCAAAAGAAGAAAAAGGTCACAGATGGCTGCTTAATTCAGTGCCCTAAACGACTTGATTTCAAGAGGTTTTATGACCACAGCATCAAGTCTAGGAAGACTGGTTTAGAAATGAACGTGTGAGGGGCAGACGTCATGAGTGTGTTCAGAAGGGCTGCAAATTGCTGATTTGGGGACATCACTTCCTAACTCTCTCTGTGTTCAGTGACATCACACTGATAGCCTGCAATCGACCATGGTGGGGGGTTTTACATCACGGGAATCAGCCCATGTTACAAATCGGAGATCCTTCTGCCCCCACCCTAAGAGCTTGCTAAACATTTCCAAGCACACTCCTGGGCCAGCTGGAAAGAGCTGGCCCTGTCTCGTGTTATTTAAATATTTGAACATAAATTACTGTAAACTTCAAACACATACACATATACAAATACAAACATGTGCCTATTATGGCTGGTGAAGCACAGCTCTAATGAATTTCTAAATCTTATCCTGGAAGTCCAACTTACTTTGGAATTTAATACAAGTTAACAACTCTGTAATGCTGTCTGTGGTCTGAATAGAAGACACAATTTGTATTAGAAAGGCAGATTGGTATGTGTGGGGGGGAAATGTTCAAGTCTTTTATCAAGAAATAAGGAAAAGTAACGTTGGATCAGCAAAAGATGAAATTGGCATACTTCATATCTGAAAATAAAATGTATCTCAGCATAGTTATCTCTTAATGCCTCAAAAAATGCGAAGCTCTCTTTCCTATGGCTTGATTCTTTCGGACACCCAGCAAAATGAGCAACCATAGTTTGAGTCATTTGTTTCTTTAAATAAAACATAGGGGCACAGTTAGTTATTTCAGAGCCAATGTGCATAGTGGTTACCTGGCTGTGCGACAGTAAGCTCACCCCTGTGTTGAATCACACAAGCATGTCCCAGCTCCACTAATTCAGACTGAGACAGGCAATACGGCCGGGCAAGGAGAGCTTTCCTCTGGCAGTTTGGAAGCTTGCCATGGAGGCCTGTCTCCCACATCAACCTTTAACCTGAGGGAGTAAGAGTGCATGAAAAGGAGGGGATGAGGGCGCACCGTGTCCACTAAGCTAGAACTTCCTGCCTTCCCCTTCAGGTTCTGCCCAAGCCCTGTGAGTGGTTGCCATGGGAACGCATTGTTGTCACAGCAGCTGAGGTGCCAGGGAATCAGAGAAGCCAGCAGCCCGCTCACAGGAGAGGGCAAGGGAGTAGACAGTCTCCAGAGGAAAAGCATACACAGGCAGAAAGCCCTGGCTTGTCTTCCCAAGTGGGTCTCCGTCTATAATGTTCTTATCTTAAATAACACTTCATAAAATCCTAACAAAGAACCCGGAAAATCTCCTGAGTGCCTCTGGAATTTTCATGATTATAGATGACTAGATTTTTTTTGTCATTTCTTTGAGTCAGGGTCTCACTTTGTGGCCCCGGCTGGAGGGCAGTGGCTTCCTCACAGTTCGCCGGGGCCTCAACTCCTGGGGTCAGGTGATCCTTCCACCTCAGCCTCCTAAGTAACTGGGACTACAGACGAGCATCACCATGCCTGGCTAATTTTTTTCTAATTTTTTTCTTAGAGACAAGATCTTGCTGTGTTGTCTAGCCTGGTCCTGAACTTCTGGGCTCAAGCAGTCCTCCCACCTTGGCTTCCCAAAGTGCTGGGGTGACAGGCATGAGCCACTGCCTGAGAACTAGAATGTGTAACACAAATCCAATTTAAAGAGTGAATTAAAATTAACTTATCGTATGAGTTATTGTAGAATGCACTGTGCGCAAGGATGCTAAAAGGCGAACTTCAAATAGATCAATAACT